CCAATTGCAGCCTTCAAACTAAACATAAAAAAAGTTTTTAAGTACTGTCCTCCTTATGATTACAAATTACTTTTTCCATTACAGATGTTTTAAATTGAAGCGTCAAATACAAATGCTGTGATATGGGAGAAAAAAAGAATCAAGGTAATTTCAGTAAGAAGATTATTAATTTACACATTGTGTAAAGGTTTACATTTCATCATTTACAGTGACTTAAAAGAAACAAATTAAAAATCCTTAGTTGCTCAGATATAAATAAAGAATGAAATTTTTCTTGGAACTGAATTAAGTTGGGAAATTATATATATATATATATATAAATGTTGGCATTCAGATGTGCAGTCTATAATTGTCAATCAGACAAAAAGTCATAAGTTTTTTTGCATTTACAGCTGTTAAATTGTTATCCATGACCTCCAGGTCAAATATGACAAATATAGAATAAGACAAATATGATATGTCCTGATAAATCTGATATTAACTAATAATATAGGTATTTCACACATTATTTTCCTGTCCTTATTTTATCAGTTAATACAAGACATTTGATTATTATATCTGTTCAAATCTTTTTTGCAATTTTAGTAGCTTATGTTTCAAAAATATTTATTTATATACATTTATTTTTTAAAATTGGTAAAAACTTGTAAGTTTTAATGATTGAGCATAATAATTATGAGAGAGATATCTATTTTTAGTCAGGTTTCTACCTGAACATAGTATTATAAATTCTTGGTTTCTTTTATTTCCCTGATTTAAAAAGAAGATATAGCTAATAGGTATTACAGAAATTTTTAATTGAAATTGCAAGTAAATGCTGTTTAATTGAATGAGTTATGAGCCTCTTTGACTTTATCAATTGCTTAAAATATTAAAAGAAATTTCTGTCCTTTTCTGTAAATGGATTTCAAATTTTTTTATCAAAAGTTTGTTGTAAGTTGTGTATATACAATTAAATATAGTGTTCAAAATCAATATGAAGTGCAACAGGTCCAGATATATATGGCATTGTCCTGTTCAGTTGTAATTTTCATGACTTTAACAGGCCTTTAGGGAAACTGCATGCTTTGAGGGTCAGATTCTGTATAAGAAAATTGCAGATTCTGAAACCATTTCTAAAACTTAAGTAAAAAGTGAATGCAGTTAGTGCTTTCATATAAAAAGTTAAACAAAAATACCTAACTATAAGGCAAATTCAAATAGGGGAAATCCATAAAAACTGAAAAAATCAATGGCTATCAATCAACGGAACAAGTAAATAAACAAAAATTTACAGTAATTACAAAGATTTTAATGCTACAATATTTCAATCATATGCAAGTAAAAGGAGGTTTGGTGAACTCCTCAATGAGACAGCATTCAAACAAAACTAACAACATAATTAAAAACCAATTGTTCAGAGAACAATTGAAGGTCTTTCCACTTCTTACGATTCATATACAGTGTCAAATGATACCTTAATGTACGCTGATTCCAAAAATATATGGTTTCTAAACAATTTTATTGAAATAAGGGAGATAATTTGTTACTTCCGGTCTGAAAAATGTCACTTCCAGTATTATTTGATAGTTTACTTGACACTGATTCCAAAAATATATGGTTCTATATACTTTAACATCAAATAAGTACAAAACAAAGCTACTTCCGGTTTACACAAAGTCATTTCCGATCGGATTTTCAAGCTCATGTAAATTGCAACCTAATGAAAAGAGTCCCATGGCTTTATCGTGTCTAAATATGAAGTTAAAGCAAAAGTCAAAATCTAGAACATCAATTTCAACTTTGACCTTGAGCTCAATTTCAAGGTCATAAACCAAGGACCTTTAATCAAATTACCCTAGGTCTTTATTATACTTGGTAAATGAGTTATACCACCATACATGTAATTTTAAATATAAAAAGGGAGAAAACTCTCCTTTATGGTCAATGTACCCTTTCAATCAAAATTTACGTGTTACAACATGTCGCAACTAACAATTTAGTAAAAATAATTTGTCGATATCTTATACGGTTTTTGGAAAGAAGTGAAAATAAGCCAAAATCAAAATTTAGAATATGACCTTGACCTTTGACCTTGACCTAATTTTTTATTTTTTTGGACCAAGGACCTCAAATCAAGAGAACCTAGGTCTCTATCACTTATTGTTTACCAGTTAGAAATGCATATCACTTGTATCAAATGCATAAGGGGGAATAACTCTCATATGGAGTCTCTGGATAGCTTCGATCCATATGGTCATCCTAATCCTGAAGATGTAACAAGCAATTTGGTAAAATAAATTTGTCGTAAACTTTTACGGTTGCGAAGGAGTAGTGGCCACAAGAAAAACAGTGTTTGGGGAGATAACTCTTACAACGTAAAGTGTTCGGTTAAGCAGTGTTAGTTTCAAAAGTGTATAAACTGTATGATATCATATTCCAAATATATAAGCGACATCTTATAAAACAAGAACACAACGAAAGAAAAAAATTAGGTGGAAGAAAGAAAAAAAAATAATAATCAGAACAAAATCAATAGGAAAAGTGGAAAGACCTAATAAATCAAAACAAAAAACTAAAGATCAACAATTGACAAATGTCTGTACCAAATATCAAGATCTAAATAACCTAGGTCTAGTCTGTACCAAATATCAAGCTCTAAATGTCCTAGCTCTAGACATGTCAAGATTGAGTTCAAATGTGACATCACCACAAAATTTCTTAATAAACAAAACAGCAAGCACTAAAAGAACATGGTTAACTAGGTTCCTGGCATGGGGAAGGTACATTGAAATGTAACCAGATCAAACTTGTTTTCATTCTTTGCTTACAATAGCTGAGTGTCATGTTTTTTCTAGTCTGTGGGTCCATCTGCCCCATATCAGGTTAAAGTTTTGGTTTAAGATAGGTTAAAGTTTTAGTTTAAGATGGGTTAAAGTTTTAGTTTAAGGTAGGTTAAAGTTTTGGTTTAAGGTAGATTAAAGTTTTAGTTTAAGATAGATTTAAGTTTTGGTTTAAGGTAGGTTTAAGTTTTGGTTGAAGGTAGGTGAAGGTTTTAGTTTAAGGTATGTTAAAGTTTTGGTTTAAGGTAGGTTAAAGTTTTAGTTTAATTTTAGGTGAAAGTTTTAGTTTAAGGTAGGTATAAGTTTTAGTTTAAGGTAAGTTAAAGTTTTAGTGTAAGGTAGGTTAAAGTTTCAGTTTAAGGTAGGTTAAAGCTTTAGTTTAAGGTAGGTCAAAGTTTTAGTTTAAGGTAGGTTAAAGTTTTAGTTTAAGGTAGGTTTAAGTTTTAGTTTAAGGTAGGTTAAAGTTTTAGTTTAAGGTAGGTTTAAGTTTTAGTTTAAGGTAGGTTAAAGTTTTATTTTAAAGTAGGTTAAATTTTTGGTTTAAGGTAGGTTAAAGTTTTGGTTCAAGGTAGGTTGTGATCAAATCAACTTGAAACATAGTACACATGTTCATTATGAAGTGAACTGCTTAATATTTATGCCAAATAATTTTTTTAATGCTGACTACACTGTTGAGTGTGATATATGTGACGGCAGCATGTTATATGGACACATTTTCTTTATTTAGTATTGTCTTTAAGCTTTGAACACCTGTATTAGAAATTAAAACTGCTAATACCTCAGTAACAGATAATTTAAGATTTGTGCCACTCAGAAATTTTCAAAGGAGTTATGGCTTTTTGATATGTAACTTTTTTGGAAAATTTGGTGTTGTTGGTAGATCTTTTTTCCACCTAGGCCAATTAAGCACTTGACATATTGTATAAAATTTCAAGTTGACCTCTAGATGTCTATTGATGTTTTCTATGGTTTGGTTAATGTCTCAATAGAGCTCAGCTAAATCTAGAATAATGTCACCTGAAGCAAGTTGGTTATTCCCTGAGCAATAAGATTTTAACGCATAACGAATGTTTATATATATCTCTTTGTTAACAGTTTGTTTACAACAAGAGACAATAAATATTTATTGGTAAATGTGGGAGTGTGCAGTTAACAATAAAGAAGCATTAATTATCACGGTATATTCTGTTCATCTAATAACAGTTTTATAAACAACATAGTTCAAAGATTTGGACTTAAAGCAAGCATATACATGTTCCTTTGAGTATCTGTTTTGTTGTTGTTTGTCAAATTCATTCTAGGAAAATTTGTCATCCTTATTTTTTTTTTTTCGGAAAACTACATATCTATATATATACCTAAAAAGAACCATGAGACTGATTTGATCAAGGATAAAGTTAAGAAAAAACAGGAAGATTTATTGACATGAAAATTACCAATATGATTTAGATTATATATCAGGTTGAAGGAAGTTCACATGTTTTTATGATAATACTAAAACAGATGATATATAGTGAAAGATTTTTGCTAAAGAGGTAATAATAGGTTAGAAAAAAATATCTTGTGTATCTGTGTGCTTGTTTTTTGGATATGAGCATTTAAATTTTATGAGGTAAAACAGTCTGGATTTCTGTAGATTTTTTTCATATTCAGTTGAATCTCATTTTCTCAAACTCTTTCAATTAAAAATGTCTGATATATCTTAGAGCAAGATGTAGATCCTAACTTGTAGATTTTCATTATATTTACTCCTGCTATCTCAAAACTCCTGTTATCTCAAAATATTCTTTTAGTCCAATCAGCTTTGAGATAACAAGTCATCTGTAGAATTTCTTTTCGTTGTCAAAATCTTTTAAGAACTAACAAAGTTTTATAGATTTTTTGTGAATTTAGTTTAAGATGTGCTTAGTGAAATTATGTAAAGAACATTGAGAATTGTATTTTAATGCTATTGATATGGGAAAAAAAATGGAAATCAAAATAATTTTCACAAGATGGCTGACAAAGTGATCATCCAATGGGGATGAAGAAACTGATACATTTTCTGAAACAGTTCTAAGTTATATGATGGAAATTCCTTTTATGAATAAACAAATATTTTAATATGAAATCACCATACATAATTGTACCTTTGATTGATGTTGATGGGAATTAATTTTTGAAAATTGTATTTTGTAGATTTATCATCAAAATTACAAAGAAACAATATGCCATTGAAAGACATATTCCAGAAAAAGACAGAGAATTCATCAAGCTTCCTGTCTGATGTTTGGAAACCTCGTTATAAGGATGGAAATCAAATCACAGAAGATAATGATGAGGCAAATCACCATAATATCCGAAAAGATGGAAAAAATCATACAAGGACAACAAAGAACTGTTTACAGGTGCAAGAGGTGTTTGAAAATAATTGTGATGATAAAAAGAAGAGAAATGTTTCTTGTCACTGTGGTAGAAGAACCTGTCCTTTAAATATGATAAATAGGCTAAATAGGGAAGACCCTCCTGAAAAAAGAATCGTCAATGACTTTGAAATGATGAAATCATTTAAAGCATCAGATGGAACACTTCCATTTCGTTTGTTTTCATTAATATTGTTTGGAGGTGAACGTGATAATAAACGTCCATTATCATCTGATGATGACTCTTATGAACAAAGAAGTAAAGATTTTGGGTCATTTCCTACAAGGCAACTTTTAAATGAAGTTTTTTCTGGTTTGTTTGAAGGAAAATCGAAAACATTGGATGAGAAAAAAAAAGAGAATACCAAGAATCAGAGTAAAGATTTCAAATTTCCAAAACCTTCAAGACCACCTCCAAAACCACCTAGAAAGACTGAAAGAAAACTACAGTTATCAATTTCTATTGATGAAGATGAGAAAACTAAAAATGATAAGTCTTTGAATACATGTGAAAAGTCAGTGATTTATAGGGTAGATCATTTCAACAATGGTAAATCTACTGAAGATGATGATTCAGTTGAAGTCAGTGACACAGGTAGTATTGATAGAGTCATTACAGTTGAAAATAAATTAAGCATTTCGATGGATTGTAGTCCCCATAGTTTATCAGAGAATTCCAAACAGAAGAAGCCAGATTTCAGTCAGTCATTTCCAGCCAGTGGAAACAGCAAGTCCAGTCTTGACAAAGATAGTAACTCAGGATTTAGTCCGTCATTTCCAGCCAGTGGAAACAGCAAGTCCAGTCTTGACAAAGATAGTAACCCAGGATTTAGTCAGTCATTTCTAGCCAGTGGAAACAGCAAGTCAAGTCTTGACAAAGATAGTTACCCAGGATTTAGTCAGCCTTTCACTAGTGATTTACGAAGTGAGGGTGAATCCTCAAAAAAATCTGCAGATGATTCTAAAACTTCAGGATCTGGTCAGAAAAAATTAGGATCTGAAAAAAATAGTTCTGGTTTGAAAACTGACCCTTGTGAGTCTGTAGGCAATGTGGATGATACCCCTCCCTACAAGAGCCAACAGAGTAACACATTCGTCAGCCATGAAACAGATGACTTTGATGATCCACTGGATGATATATTTGGTCCAGGTAGTTTAGTTAATGCCATAGTTTAGTTCTGAAACAAAAATTTGATAAGCTTATACCTATTTGTAGTCAATAGAAAAGTAGTATGATTAAAATATATGTCAATGAGACAGTCAACCAACAAAACTTCTTGTCTTTAAAAATAGACAGATGTCTATAGAATATATGTAAGCGTCAAATCTATGTCTGACCTCAAATTTATGTCCTTTCCTCAAATCTGTGTCCTTTTTATACGATCGCAAATTTATTTGCATTTGTATTATGTTATGGTGGTGTCTGCATCTGCGTCTGAAGACATTTTGGTTCGCAGACAATAACTTTAGTATAAGTTCATGGATCTCTATGAAATTTTAGCACAAGGTTCCATACCACTAAAGGATGGTTGGGATTGTTTTTGGGGCTATTGTCCTAGCGGCTTTGTAATAAGGGCCAAAAAAGGTCAGTTTTACTGGTTCATCATGTTCATGGAAAATAAATTGGTTCTCAGACAATAACTTTAGTATAAGTGTATGGATGTGTAAGAAATTTTAGCTCAAGGTTCCATACCACAATTGGAGGGTTGGGATTGATATTGGGGGTAATTGTCTTAGCTATTTTGTAATAAGGGGCCAGAAACAATTATTTGTCTGGTTTTAAGACAATAACTTGAATATAAGAGATATTTCTCTGGTCAAAATTTTAGCACAAGGTTCCACATCTCAATAGGAAGGTTGGGATTACTTTTGGGGGTTATTGTCATAGCTGTTTAGGAATAAGGGCTAAAAAGGGCCTAACAAAAACATTTTTTTGTCAGGTTCACAGACAATAACTTGAGTATGAGTATAAATAAGAAGATGTGGTATGAGTGCCAATGAGACAACTATCCATCCAAGTCACAATGTTTAAAGTAAACAATTATAGGTCAAAGTACAGCTTTCAACATGGAGCCTTGGTTCACATCGAACAGCAAGCTATAAAGGACCCAAAATGTCTAGTGTAATAAAACAATTCAAACAGGAAAACCAACAGTCTAATCTATATAAAAAATGAGAAACGAGAAACACTTATGAACCACACCAACAAACGACAACCACTATACAACAGGCTCCTGACTTAGGACAGGTGCATACAAATGCAGCAGGTTTAAACGTTTTAACAGGCGCCAACCTTCACCCTAACCTGAAACAGTAGTGTAACATTACAACATAAAAAAGACTATAAAATATCAATTGAAAAGGCTAGGGGGCTTCTTGACCATGATGTAGGGTATGAATGATTCGTTCATTGTTGAAGACCCTACATCAACTGTCAAGATGAAGAACAGGAATAAAAGCCCTGTTCATTGATAATTTTCTATGTTTTCTATGTATTGTGTGCGATTTTGTCCCATGTACATTTACTCCATATCCTTTCATTTACTATTAACTCGATCAAAAAGACATATAAACAAAAACAAGTAAACATACACTGAACGAATTAGTTTGATCTATGACACAATATAAATACAATATTAATAAAAAAAGATGTAGAACAATGTCAAAAAGACAACTTTAACCTGGGACAAATGGCGTTAAATAAAGTAACGTACACAGGTAAATTTAAATATAAAAATTTTGTTGTTATTAGTATGGAAACATTTTTTACAAAATTAATAAATTGGTTGTTCACAGTACTAGTACAGAGGTGAAAATTTATCGTCATACTAAATACTTATCAAAGGTGGTACATATTAAAAATAGTGAGACGAGATATAACACAAAATAAGTAAACATTGAATAACAGAAATGCATTACAAATTGTGTCAACAGGTGAAGTTAACACCAAAGTATGATTTGAGAGTACTCGCAGTGACTAAAAGCTAGTTAAAAGCCAAAAACAATTAAAAAGAGACTAAAATCAATTAAAACACATCCCAGGGATTTAATGTTTTAACGCCTTGGACAGTCAAAGAAGACATGACTTGTGCAATGCCAAAAAATAAGTATCGACTGGCAGTAGGATAGTTGGGATTTATCCTTATAATAAATATGTATCATGTTATATATAGATAAAGCAATTTCTAAATAGAAAATAAACGTGGATGTGTATTTATACATCCCAAAAAACCATTCGATAAGAATACAAATTTAGTTATGTTTTAATCTGTTGATGACAAAATTGATGTTTATTTTGGGGGTTATTATAGAGTTAAGAATTAGGGGCCAAAAAGAGCCTAACAAAAACAAGTATTTGTCTGTGAACAGACAATAACTTGAGTATAACTGTATAGATCTCTATTGAATTTAAGTGCAAGGTTCCATACCACAATAGGAAGTTTGAGATTTATTTTTGGGGTTATTGTTGTAGCTGTTTAGTAATTAAGGGCCAAAAACAAGCATTTTTCATGTTTCAAGTCACTAATTTGTGTATTAGAGTATGGATTTCTATGAAATTTTATTACAAAGTTCCCTACTTCAAAGGAAAGTTGGGATTGATTTTAGGGGTCATGGTCCATACCGTTTAATAATAAGGGGCTGAAAAGGGGCCAAAAAACTAGCGTTTTCTGATTTCTGGACAATAACTTGAGTATAAGTCTATTTATTGCTATTTAATTGTGCCACAAGGTGTTTTACCATAAAATAAAGTTTAGGATTGATTTTAGGGGTTATGACCCTATTGGTTTATTTAAAAGGGGCCAAAACCAATACTTTATATAAATTGCTTATTTCTTTAGCAATTTCAATGGGGTTTAATTCAAAAGTCTCGAATTCTTGGGAGTCTCTTATATATTGAATCTAATTGGGTATTTAGAATTTGGATTTTAGGGTCTGGTTTTGAAATGATCCATATTAAGGTCCAAAGGGTCCAAAATTAAACTTTGTTTGATTTCTTTAAAAATTAAATCATTGTTGTTCCTTGATATGCTGAATCTAGTTGTGTATTTAGATTTTTTTTTAATTTTGAGGCCTGTCTTCAAATTGGTCCACATTAAGTCCAAAGGGTCCAAAATAAAACTTTTTTGATTTAAAAAAAAAAAGAATGGTTGGGGTTCTTTGATATGCTGTATCTAAGCATGTATTTAGATTTTTGATTTTTAGCACAGTATTCAAGATGGTCCAAATTGGGGTCCATAATGACAATGGGGTCCAAAATTGAACATTGTTTAATTTCATCAAAAATTAAATTGTTTATGTAATTTGATATGGTCAATCCAACAGTGTTTAAGATTTTTTGATTTTGTGCTTGGTTTTCAAAAGTTGGTCCAAATTTGTGTCCAAAATTAAACTTTGTTTGATTTCTTCAAAAATTAAATCATTGGTGTTCTTTAATGTGTGCATTCTAACAGTTGTTTAAATTTTTAATTTTGGGCCGGTTTATCAAACTGGACCCCATAAAGGTCCAAAGTATCCAAAATAAAACTTTGTTTGATTTTAACAAAAAATTAAACAATGTGGTTATTTGATATGCTAAATCCAACCATGTATTAAGAATTTGAAAATTGGACCATAATTGGTAAATGTCCAATTTTAAAATTATTTAAGAACTTATTCCACATTCATTCTGTGTCAGAAGCTATGCTATTATTACATATTTGCTCAGAATCTGAATTCAGAGATGTTATTGCACAATTAACAGAAATTAATGGATGTGTAAGAAATTTTAGCTCAAGGTTCCATACCACAATTGGAGGGTTGGGATTGATATTGGGGGTAATTGTCTTAGCTATTTTGTAATAAGGGGCCAGAAACAATTATTTGTCTGGTTTTAAGACAATAACTTGAATATAAGAGATATTTCTCTGGTCAAAATTTTAGCACAAGGTTCCACATCTCAATAGGAAGGTTGGGATTACTTTTGGGGGTTATTGTCATAGCTGTTTAGGAATAAGGGCTAAAAAGGGCCTAACAAAAACATTTTTTTGTCAGGTTCACAGACAATAACTTGAGTATGAGTATAAATAAGAAGATGTGGTATGAGTGCCAATGAGACAACTATCCATCCAAGTCACAATGTTTAAAGTAAACAATTATAGGTCAAAGTACAGCTTTCAACATGGAGCCTTGGTTCACATCGAACAGCAAGCTATAAAGGACCCAAAATGTCTAGTGTAATAAAACAATTCAAACAGGAAAACCAACAGTCTAATCTATATAAAAAATGAGAAACGAGAAACACTTATGAACCACACCAACAAACGACAACCACTATACAACAGGCTCCTGACTTAGGACAGGTGCATACAAATGCAGCAGGTTTAAACGTTTTAACAGGCGCCAACCTTCACCCTAACCTGAAACAGTAGTGTAACATTACAACATAAAAAAGACTATAAAATATCAATTGAAAAGGCTAGGGGGCTTCTTGACCATGATGTAGGGTATGAATGATTCGTTCATTGTTGAAGACCCTACATCAACTGTCAAGATGAAGAACAGGAATAAAAGCCCTGTTCATTGATAATTTTCTATGTTTTCTATGTATTGTGTGCGATTTTGTCCCATGTACATTTACTCCATATCCTTTCATTTACTATTAACTCGATCAAAAAGACATATAAACAAAAACAAGTAAACATACACTGAACGAATTAGTTTGATCTATGACACAATATAAATACAATATTAATAAAAAAAGATGTAGAACAATGTCAAAAAGACAACTTTAACCTGGGACAAATGGCGTTAAATAAAGTAACGTACACAGGTAAATTTAAATATAAAAATTTTGTTGTTATTAGTATGGAAACATTTTTTACAAAATTAATAAATTGGTTGTTCACAGTACTAGTACAGAGGTGAAAATTTATCGTCATACTAAATACTTATCAAAGGTGGTACATATTAAAAATAGTGAGACGAGATATAACACAAAATAAGTAAACATTGAATAACAGAAATGCATTACAAATTGTGTCAACAGGTGAAGTTAACACCAAAGTATGATTTGAGAGTACTCGCAGTGACTAAAAGCTAGTTAAAAGCCAAAAGCAATTAAAAAGAGACTAAAATCAATTAAAACACATCCCAGGGATTTAATGTTTTAACGCCTTGGACAGTCAAAGAAGACATGACTTGTGCAATGCCAAAAAATAAGTATCGACTGGCAGTAGGATAGTTGGGATTTATCCTTATAATAAATATGTATCATGTTATATATAGATAAAGCAATTTCTAAATAGAAAATAAACGTGGATGTGTATTTATACATCCCAAAAAACCATTCGATAAGAATACAAATTTAGTTATGTTTTAATCTGTTGATGACAAAATTGATGTTTATTTTGGGGGTTATTATAGAGTTAAGAATTAGGGGCCAAAAAGAGCCTAACAAAAACAAGTATTTGTCTGTGAACAGACAATAACTTGAGTATAACTGTATAGATCTCTATTGAATTTAAGTGCAAGGTTCCATACCACAATAGGAAGTTTGAGATTTATTTTTGGGGTTATTGTTGTAGCTGTTTAGTAATTAAGGGCCAAAAACAAGCATTTTTCATGTTTCAAGTCACTAATTTGTGTATTAGAGTATGGATTTCTATGAAATTTTATTACAAAGTTCCCTACTTCAAAGGAAAGTTGGGATTGATTTTAGGGGTCATGGTCCATACCGTTTAATAATAAGGGGCTGAAAAGGGGCCAAAAAACTAGCGTTTTCTGATTTCTGGACAATAACTTGAGTATAAGTCTATTTATTGCTATTTAATTGTGCCACAAGGTGTTTTACCATAAAATAAAGTTTAGGATTGATTTTAGGGGTTATGACCCTATTGGTTTATTTAAAAGGGGCCAAAACCAATACTTTATATAAATTGCTTATTTCTTTAGCAATTTCAATGGGGTTTAATTCAAAAGTCTCGAATTCTTGGGAGTCTCTTATATACTGAATCTAATTGGGTATTTAGAATTTGGATTTTAGGGTCTGGTTTTGAAATGATCCATATTAAGGTCCAAAGGGTCCAAAATTAAACTTTGTTTGATTTCTTTAAAAATTAAATCATTGTTGTTCCTTGATATGCTGAATCTAGTTGTGTATTTAGATTTTTTTTTAATTTTGAGGCCTGTCTTCAAATTGGTCCACATTAAGTCCAAAGGGTCCAAAATAAAACTTTTTTGATTTAAAAAAAAAAAGAATGGTTGGGGTTCTTTGATATGCTGTATCTAAGCATGTATTTAGATTTTTGATTTTTAGCACAGTATTCAAGATGGTCCAAATTGGGGTCCATAATGACAATGGGGTCCAAAATTGAACATTGTTTAATTTCATCAAAAATTAAATTGTTTATGTAATTTGATATGGTCAATCCAACAGTGTTTAAGATTTTTTGATTTTGTGCTTGGTTTTCAAAAGTTGGTCCAAATTTGTGTCCAAAATTAAACTTTGTTTGATTTCTTCAAAAATTAAATCATTGGTGTTCTTTAATGTGTTCATTCTAACAGTTGTTTAAATTTTTAATTTTGGGCCGGTTTATCAAACTGGACCCCATAAAGGTCCAAAGTATCCAAAATAAAACTTTGTTTGATTTTAACAAAAAATTAAACAATGTGGTTATTTGATATGCTAAATCCAACCATGTATTAAGAATTTGAAAATTGGACCATAATTGGTAAATGTCCAATTTTAAAATTATTTAAGAACTTATTCCACATTCATTCTGTGTCAGAAGCTATGCTATTATTACATATTTGCTCAGAATCTGAATTCAGAGATGTTATTGCACAATTAACAGAAATTTTAAGTTGGGTCATAGTTGAAAATAGATATAACATCATATCTAATTTACTGTGTCATGAAAAATAAATTGGCTCACAGACAATAACTTTAGTATAAGTGTATGGATGTGTAACTAAAATCAATAAAACAGATACAATCATTGATACACCATCTATCCATATACTTATTAATTACACCATTTCTGTTCAAAGGGAAACAACTCAATATACAATAAAATCATAATTCACTATTCAACACATAACATTTTCTCCCTTTGAATACAAATTTCCAAACATTTCTAGACGGCACAATAGTATTTACATTCCAGTATTTAGGTTGCTCATTTGTGTACTCTACTTAAGTCAATGTATCCAAACAGTAAATTTTACAAAAATCTTCTCTTCTGACATTACTGGACTAATTGGAAAAAGATTTTGCTACAATCATCCTTATGGTTACATGTTTTAAAAATATGTCTGATGTGAGTAATCACTAAATCTAGAAAACCATTATAGATAGAGATGATTGGGTTGACGAAAATGTTCATTATGTTCTATTGCCTACTGTCTATTTAGATCAAAATTGTCAAGTAACTCCTCACTGGAGTTATTGCCCTTAAATGACAGTTTTTACATATTGTTTTGCATTTTTGGCTACTATCTTGAAAACTATGATATATAGAAAAAAATAATTGATAGAGAAAAACTTAAATATCAAACATGTTTGATATTTTAAAGTTTCTCTCTATGTACATGATCAGCGAGGCAAGATTTACAAATAAATCGGCATGGCAGAAATCATCAGTCAACTCAGTTATTGCCCCTTTATGTCAGTGTTTACCCATTTTTGCATTTGGGGTGTAAACTTAAGCAGATAGGGGGGAACTATACAAAGGAAAAATGATCAGCAAAATAAATTCTACCAAATGAACAAAATTGTAAGTTGACTCCTTAATGCCCTTCAATGGAGTTTTTTACCCTTTTATGGTGTTTTTGCTATAACCATGATAAACTTGCAAACTATATTAGATAGCGAAAACATTTAAAGCCAGAGAATCAACAAATCCCACTGTTTCCTGCAGCATTAGGCATCAACAATTTGTTGAAGTGTGTGTTTATGTCATTTTTAAGGGTTCTAATGAGTCAATTCTACTTGGTACGCAATTGTATTAGCATTTGCACATCTCATGTCCATGTTGATTATTGTCTTTGAAACTTTTACTTAGTTTGATTGTGGTTTAATAAGAGTTCTTAGACTCATAGTTAAGACCTTCCATGGACTTTTCAAGATGCAGTCATGAAAGTAGTCTGTACCTTTGATTGGAAATATCTTTGGTGAACATTTCAAATAACACAAAACTTAAAGTTAAAGTATTTCATAATTTCACAACTCTGGTAGTGAAATGTAATGTATAACTGTCTGTTACAAAATGATAATTTATCGACATTTTTTGTTTTATAGAGTGTGGTCCTGAGCTTGAGGAATTTCCTGACCTACTTAATCATGATGTACCAGAGGAATACTGTGCCTCTCCTGCAATTGAAAATCCTTCTTTACTGCCTACAGACCCTCAGACATTACTGGAAGAACACATGCATCATTGTCCTGCAGCAGCACATCATCACAATGGTAAACTAAGTATTAATTTAACCATTTTATATGGCTGCTACATTTTTTTTTTATAAATAACACAATCTTTGCATTTACATCTACATTAAGATCTCAGAAATTGATTGAAATAGCAATATAACTTGTTGTACAGATGTGATTTAGAAAGTAATCAAGTTGTACATTAAAGTTCCATTCTAAGATATCAAATTACCTACATTGATACAAGTTTGTGTGAGGATGCATCTTGAAGAACTTAACCAATTTCCACCAAAATGACCTTCAATTTCTGCTTGGATCATTGTTTTTCAATTTTCATGTCAAAGTTAATAGAAAAGTATGAAGATGTAGGTAGGTATTATAAAATCATATAACAGTAGATCCCTCTGACCTACATTTTACACTTCAATGAATGATAAGTTTTAATTTCAATTTTTATTTGCAAGTACACAATGGATAGAGTCAAAATTGATTTATTGATTACTGCTGGGACTATTATACCAACGGGACTGGAAACTGATCGATCTGTTGAGATTTCATTGCCCCGATAGGGGATTATTGATTTTTTGTTTTGATTGACAGCTTATCGTGTCACGTAGTAAATTAGCATTCGGTACATGAATGTACACAATAGATTTCGGCAAACAAGTCAGCATATATATAATACTGTTAAAATTGGTGGATTTGAAATAAAAAAATAATTATTAAATTAATTAGTTTAAATGCAAAAAATATATTTTGTTTACGAAAAATTATTAATAAGTAGTCAATATATTAGTGTTGAAAATAAACCAGATATAGTCGAAATGCCGGCGCTTAATTGACCGCTAAGAAAACAACGTGTCAAAGGTTAACAGATCATAATTAATCCTGATAAAAACAATAAGTGTGCAATAAAAACCATGTTTACAATTTCAGTTCATAATTAATTCATATAACAAAAGTTACCCGGGTCTCATAAAGATATAGCCACATTGTTTTGAACTTTTGTGAACTTCGTGTTTACACCAAAATTTCAATATGGCTGTGAACGGGCCTACTTTTGTAGTTCTAATTATGGAACCTAGTGTACATATTTTCACGAAGTCATATGCTAATGCCACCAGAAGACCATTACTAAGCAAAATTAACCCTGATTATAATAAAAATATTGTACACATAAAAAGGAGTAGGTAATTTTATAGAAACAGTATAATTTATTTGAGCCGTGCATGTGGGTTCCGGTTGTAATGAGAAAGAGATTTATATTCCACTTTTTATTAGCTCACCTGACCTGAAAGGTCAAGTGAGCTTTTCTCATCACTTTGCGTCCGTCGTCCGTCGTCCTGCGTCCGTCGTCCGTCGTCCGTCGTCCGTCGTCCGTCGTCCGTAAACTTTTACAAAAATCTTCTCCTCTGAAACTACTGGGCCAAATTTAACCAAACTTGGCCACAATCATCATTGGGGTATCTAGTTTTAAAAATGTGTGGCGTGACCCGGTCAACCAACCAAGATGGCCGCCACGGCTAAAAATAGAACATAGGGGTAAAATGCAGTTTTTAGCTTATAATTCAAAAACCAAAGCATTAAGAGCAAATCTGACATGGGGTAAAATTGTTCATCAGGTCAAGATCTATCTGCCCTGAAATTTTCAGATGAATCGGACAACCCGTTATTGGGTTGCTGCCCCTGAATTGGTAATTTTAAGGAAATTTTGCTGTTTTTGGTTATTATCTTGAATATTATTATAGATAGAGATAAACTGTAAACAGCAATAATGTTCAGCAAAGTAAGATTTACAAATAAGTCAATATAACCGAAATGGTCAGTTGACCCCTTTAGGAGTAATTGCCCTTTATAGTCAATTTTTAACCATTTTTCGTAAATCTTAGTAATCTTTTACAAAAATCTTCTCCTCTGAAACAACTGGGCCAAATTAAACCAAACTTGGCCACAATCATCATTGGGGTATCTAGTTTAAAAAATGTGTGGCGTGACCCGGCCAACCAACCAAGATGGCCGCCACAGCTAAAAATAAAACATAGGGGTAAAATGCAGTTTTTGGCTTATAACTCAAAAACCAAAGCATTTAAAGCAAATCTGACATGAAGTAAAATTGTTTATCAGGTCAAGATCTATCTGCCCTGAAATTTTCAGATGAATCGAACAACCTGTTGTTGGGTTGCTGCCCCTGAATTGGTAATTTTAAGGAAATTTTGCTGTTTTTGGTTATTATCTTGAATATTATTATAGATAGAGATAAACTGTAAACAGCAATAATGTTCAGCAAAGTAAGATTAACAAATAAGTCAACATGACTGAAATGGTCAGTTGACCCCTTTAGGAGTTATTGCCCTTTATAGTCAATTTTTAACTATTTTTCGTAAATCTTAGTAATCTTTTACAAAAATCTTCTCCTCTGAAACTCCGTGGCCAAATTAAACCAAACTTGGCCACAATCATCATTTGGTTATCTAGTTTTAAAAATGTGTGGCGTGACCTGGTCAACCAACCAAGATGGCCGCCACGGCTAAAAATAGAACATAGGGGTAAAATGCAGTTTTTGGCTTTTAACTCAAAAACCAAAGCATTTAAAGCAAATCTGACATGAAGTAAAATTGTTCATCAGGTCAAGATCTATCTGCCCTGAAATTTTCAGATGAATCGGACAACCCTTTATTGGGTTGCTGCCCCTGAATTGGTAATTTTAAGGAAATTTTGCTGTTTTTGGTTATTATCTTGAATATTATTATAGATAGAGATAAACTGTAAACAGCAATAATGTTCAGCAAAGTAAGATTTACAAATAAGTCAATATAACCGAAATGGTCAGTTGACCCCTTTAGGAGTAATTGCCCTTTATAGTCAATTTTTAACCATTTTTCGTAAATCTTAGTAATCTTTTACAAAAATCTTCTCCTCTGAAACAACTGGGCCAAATTAAACCAAACTTGGCCACAATCATCATTTGGTTATCTAGTTTTGAAAATGTGTGGCGTGACCTGGTCAACCAACCAAGATGGCCGCCACGGCTAAAAATAGAACATAGGGGTAAAATTCAGTTTTTGGCTTTTAACTCAAAAACCAAAGCATTTAAAGCAAATCTGACATGAAGTAAAATTGTTTATCAGGTCAAGATCTATCTGCCCTGAAATTTTCAGATGAATCGGACAACCCGTTGTTGGGTTGCTGCCCCTGAATTGGTAATTTTAAGGAAATTTTGCTGTTTTTGGTTATTATCTTGAATATTATTATAGATAGAGATAAACTGTAAAAAACAATAAATGTCGGCAAAGTAAGATCTACAAATAAGTCAACATGACCGAAATTGTCAGTTGACCCCTTTAGGAGTTATTGCCCTTTATAGTCAATTTTTAACCATTTTTTCGTAAATCTTAGTAATCTTTTACAAAAATCTTCTCCTCTGAAACTACTGGGCCAAGTTAATTATAGATAGAGATAATTGTAAGCAGGAAAAATGTTCAGTAAATTAAGATGTACAAACACATCACCATCACCAAAACACAATTTTGTCATGAATCCATCTGCGTCCTTTGTTTAATATTCACATAGACCAAGGTGAGCGACACAGGCTCTTTAGAGCCTCTAGTTTTAAAAAGTGACAATAAAAATAGACAAATCCAAACTATAACCTATAAATATGATTTTACAACTAACCGAACTTGCGTATCTCTTTTCAATCAGCAGTTATAAGAAATTTTATGAATCATATACTTTTTTCCACATCGTCCCCATGCTATTTTCATCCTGAAAATTTCAAATTTATGTGTCATTTTTTACACTTAAGACGGGATTTGGTGATTAATAACAACTGTCAAAGATCGAGATATCTTTTATCATTATAGTAATCATGTTTATATTAAGGATTATCATTTCGAATGACTATAAAATAAAAAAACAAATTACCAAAATTATAAGATCAAGGCACGCTGTCACTGTCAAAACAATATGGCGTATCGATAAATAGCGCAGGTAAGGTCTCGTTCTAACGACCGTGATGTTGATATTATTACACTGATTGGTGTAACGGTTTCCAGTCCCGTTAGTATAATAGTCCCAGATTACTGTAATATATTTTTTATTATTAGTAAGAAACTAAACACACATACCTTTTATACTAATATATTATTAGTAAGAAACTAAACACACATACCTTTTATACTAATATACTATTCTCGTATCAAACATAAACTAAAAGAACTTGCCAAGGAATTTGTTTTTGTCCCGGCCGATAAAGCTGCTAATAATATTATTATTGTTTGACGTAAATTTTACATTGAGGTTCTGAAAAAAGAAATCACCAATTCACCAACATTCCAACTGACTCCATTTTCAGAAAACGACATCTGTAACAAACATAAACTTTTAGCTACCGCTTTACAAGCAGAACCAAATACAATGAAAGTCCCAACTATGTATTGGCTTCCGAAGCTACACAAAACACCTTACAAATATAGATTCATTTCGTCTTCAAGCCATTGTTCCACTACTAAATTGTCTATTCTTCTTACCAGTACACTTGGAACAATCAAAAACCTGATAATAAATTGTTCAAATAAGGCCTTCGAAAATAGTGGAATTAATTACTTTTGGAGTGTCAAGAACTCGTTGGAAGTACTTGATAAATTGCATGCATATATTGGTGATTTTGAATCTGTTCAAAGTTTTGATTTTTCTACCCTATATACCACATTGCCTCACATTCTCATTAAGAAAAAATTCACACACCTAATTAAATGGGCATTTAAAAAGTCAGAATGTGAATATATATGTTCAAACTCTTTTAGGTCATTTTTTAGTAGCAATAAACAAAAAAACTATGTCAATTGGACATGCTTTGATACTATATATGCCCTTGAATTTTTACTAGATAACATTTTTGTTCGCTTTGGAGATTCCGTATATCGTCAGGTTATCGGAATTCCAATGGGGACTAACTGTGCACCACTTATTGCGGACCTTTTTTTGTATTGCTATGAGTTACAATTTATGACAAAAATCAGTAAAGACCCATCGAAACA